TGGTTTATTCACTCACCTGCTGAAGGACATTTGGGTTGTTTCCTGTTTTTGTCTACTATCAAGAAAGCTGCTATGGATATTCATGTATAGATTTTTTGTAGGTTTTCATTTTTCTTTTTTTTTCAGATTTTATTTATTTGAGAAAGAGAGAGCATGCATTGGGTGGGGAGGGGCAGAGGGAGAAGCACACTCCCTGCTTAGCAGAGAGCCTGATGTGTGTCTCAATCCCAGGACCCTGAGATCATGACCTGAGTCAAAGGCAAAGGCTTAACCAACTGAGGCACCCAGGCAACACCCAGAAAAGAATTTTCAACCATTTTTTTCACCTTACATGTGTTTAATACTGTGTTAGAGGCTGAGAGAGATTCACAGATGTAGAAGAAGAGTTGTGCTCAAGGGATTTTCAGTTAAGTTTAGACAAGCAAACAATTAACAGCAGAAGATGGTAGGTCATTATGAGTTATGTGAGTATTGAAAAGGCTATGGGTAGGAGGAGTTGAGTTCATGGGAGGGAACCTCATCTTACATTTGAAATAGCAGGGAAGATTCATGGAGGAGGTGGCATTTGAGCCTTAAGGATTTGAACAGTTGAAATAGGGGCAGAGGATGAAATACCAAGAAGAAAGAATTGCATAAGTGAAGAAACAGGGGTAGGACAGAAAAGTCAACATCAAGAAGTGGGCTGGGGTGGGGAGTCTAAAGGCTAGATGAGTTCACTTTTAGATATACAGGACTTGAAGACCAGCAAGATTGATGAGGAGATGTCCAACAGGTAGTTGGAGATGTGAGATTAAATTTATACAATGGAGGGGCGCCTGGGTGGCTCAGTGGGTTAAGCCTCTGCCTTCAGCTCAGGTCATGGTCTCAGGGTCCTGGAATCAAGCCCTGCATCGGGCTCTCCACTGAGCAGGGAGACTGCTTGCCCTCCCCACCCCCTCCGCCTGCCTCTCTGCCTACTTGTGATCGCTCTCTGTCAAATAAATAAATAAAATCTTAAAAAAACATTAAGTTGGACATTGGAAATAAGGATTTGAGCATCATCAGCATAGGTCAGGCCTTCTGTTATACACCCCACAGCAATCTGTACTCTCCTTCAAAGCACTTATCACAGAGATAATTAATAATTCACTGTGTAATTAGTTGTTTAATCTCTATTTGTCTTGTTAGGATTCCAGTCTCATGAAGAGAGTCCATACCTGCCTTATATGTTGGACCTAGTCCAGTGCCTTGCACTCAGAGAAATATTTGCTGAACGAATAAAGAGATAGTTCTAATAGCCACCATTTATTGAGCAGGCACATGGCAGACACAGTATACCAATTCTGTATATATAATCTCATTTAAACCTCACGGAAATTTTATGAGAGGCAGGTCAAGGCTTCTCAGAACTAAATTCCAGGGTCTGAGGTAAGGCCCAAGAATCTGAATTGAAGCTCCCAGTGAGTTCTACTGAGCAGTCAGGCTTGGAAACCACTCAGGTGCATAGTTCCATTGAAATGGTACAGATAAAGAAACTAAGGATCAGCAAGTAACAGTGATTTATTCAAAGTCCCATGGCTAGAAAGAGTAGATCCCTTAGGGAGAGGATTTTACCACAAGCTTCCTTGCCTCTGTGAGATATAAGATCTGGAAAAAGAGTTTATGAGGGAAGAGCAGAAGGCCAGAAACTGGATCTTTGAAACCAAGGTGAGTAGTGAGCACTGCCAAATGCCACAGAGAGGCCACAGAGGATGTGGCATGGGGGAGGACCAGGGGATGCCTAGTCCATGCGTCTGCAGCGCCTGGGTCTGACATTACAGCAAGATCAAGATATGGCCTTTGCATAGGGCAGGGCCTCCATCAAGAAACCTGGCCAGCTGGAAGAAATTGTCGTTTGAGGCTCAGCCAAGATCACTTCTTGGTAATAGAGCTTTGTGCTAAAAATATTAAAGCCAAACATCTGGGCTATGGGGTAGTATGCCAAGAAAAGGGAGGTACACAAGCCCCATGGGGGAATCTCAGTTTGGAATCAAAGATCGACTGTTTAGAAATTACAAAATGCAGCCCACTCTAGATTTTCCATGCCACTACCCCTTTGTTGGATTATTCAGGCCTTTTGCCTCACCTCTGCTTTGGGTGTGTTTTACCTTTGGGGTACTGCTTCTAATGGAGGATGGAAAGAGAAAGAAAGGTAAAACTCCAACTAGGACATTTTGCTGATATTTAGTTATTCAGTCCTGAATAATAGAGGAGTTATACTCATGAGTTATTCTCAGTTGAAATGAGACTGGAACTAGAGCCTAGAAGATCTAGTTTACTGCAGCTATTTCTACTCACCACGCGGTCATGCTGGCCTCAGGTACCCCAATCAAGGTTGGCTGTATTGTCTTTGCCAAGGGGCAGCCTCAAGGCCTGTGCAACGACATGGTGGACAGTTTCCTGCAATCCCATCACTAACCCCAATTCATACCCTTTTGATGGCAGATGGGAAGCAATGTCCCTTTATTTGAAAGAGGACAATGATGACGAGAATCCCTTATACCCATACAGCTTACAAAGCACCTTCACGCGCATCAGTTCAATCTTTCATGACCCTGGGAAGTAGGTGTTGTTATTCCTACAAGCTTGGTAAGTGCAGAAGCCACAATTCAAACCCATCACCCTGATTATTTGAATTATAAAACAAGCTGCTACTTTGTTACTGGCCAAAACTCTTCGGAAGCCCACTATTACGGTTACACTGGCCGCATGGATATTAATGAGACAAGAGCCTCATTGCTGTAAGAAGTAGAATTACGTAATGAGGAAACAATGTATGTTTGCTTGCTAGCTACCTTGTGCAGAGTGCTGCAGCTGAGCCCTGGTTTCTGATCTTTAAGATGGGGGTAAAGGGACACCCTGAAGAGTGGCCAGAAGGAAGCAAACCTATATACAAAAGTCCTGGCACAATGGCCAGCAGAGAGTAATCACTCAGGAGTGTTAGCTAGCACTCTTCCGTCCTTCACCTCACCAGGTATTTCTGAGCCCAGTGAACACAGAATTAAGCTCAGGTCTTGGTCTGTGATAAGGAACCAGGGGGGACAGGCTGTGGCATGGCCTGACCATCTTCCACGACATCAAGCATAAAGCCAAGAAGTATATTCCAAAGTCCCATAGGACTCATATTCTCCCTTCCTCTAGTGGCCTGTCTCAGGTACTATTTCCCTGTGTGAAGTTAAAACTTGTCCTAGATCATGATCCCGGGGTCCTGGGATTGAGCCCCACATTGGGCTCTCTGCTCGCAGGGAGCCTGCTTCCTCCTCTCTCTCTCTGCCTGCCTCTCTGCCTTCTTGTGATCTCCGTCTGTCAAATAAATAAATAAAATCTTTAAAAAAAAATTGTCCTAGAACTACATCCTTGAGATTCCAAATCAAAAAGGACTTCAGTCTGGAATTCTGGAGTCTACTAAAAAGTTCTTCCTAACTCCCTCTCCTAAGCCATAGCCACATTGGGAGAGATAGGATAAGCTAGAAGGTGAGTGCACACTACAGACCCTACACTGATTCCTCCAAGCCTTCATCTCTCCAGATCCCGGTCTTTGACAACCCCCACCTCCACCCTGTGTTTCGAACTAGGCCTGCCCTGTGGCCAGCACTCTTCCCCACTCCTGGAGTTTAACGCCTCTTTTGTTCAAAGAGAAATGTCCCCAGGAAGGGGCACCCCTAAACCAGACCAGGATTTACACAACCTAAAATCGCTAATACCTACAGGACCACAGAGGTAAACTAAATGACTTAAGAAGGTGGGTGTTAAGGACGCCTGGGTGGCTCAGTCAGTTAAGCCGCTGCCTTCCACTCAGGTCATGATCCCAGCATAGTGGGATTGAGTCCCACATCGGGCTCCTTCCTCAGTAGGGAGCCTGCTTCTTTCTCCGCCTCTGCCTGCCACTCTGCCTGCTTGTGTGCTCTCTTGCGCGCGCTCTCTCTCTCTCTCTCTCTTTCTCTCTCTCTCTCTGACAAATAAATAAATAAATAAATAATCTTGAAGAAGAAGAAGAAGGAGGTGGGCGTTATTGAATGGAGAGTGCTGGGGGCTGTGGTGAACCCATCCTCATCGGGAGCTCCAAGGACGGGTATGAGCATACAGGCCACCTCCCAGAAAAACTCTAACTCAGGGTGGAGGCAAGGAGGACAGGGTCAAGGCAAGCGACAGAGCCGCGTGGTCTGCGGATGGGAAACCCGCTTACTTATACAAATGTCTAAAGCACTTCAGTTTTGCCCACTACAGCGTTCCAGCTCTTTCCCGCGCGTCCTTCTACTATCCGCAACTCAGGCTCGTGTTCTTTATCCATCTCCCATCTTTTCCAGGGCGTCACAAGCATTCCGCCCAGCCACCCGCTCTGGGCGCTTCCAAGAGCTGCAGAGGAACAGCTGATGAGATGATCTCTGACGTAGACCCACTCTACCCCCTGGGAACCCCGAACTGGCTGAGGAAAGGGACAAAGCCTGAGGGAGGAGACAAAGTCCCCATTCTAACTGAAAAAAACAGGGCCTCACCCTCAGGAGCTCCCGGGGAGGGATGGGCGGGCGTACGGGACCCCTCCCAGAAAACCCTAGCTCTGGGTGGGCTAAAGGTAGCAAGGAGAACAGGGTCAAGGGCAGCGACAGAGCCGGGTCGTCTGCGGATGGGAAACCCCAGTCGTTTAGGCACCCCTCCGCTCAAGTCACTCCCAAACCAGACAATTCTTGGGGAGGAGTGCCGCGGGCAGGGAGCGGCTTCTACGCAAATCGCTTTGTCTCCGCGTCCTAGGTCCGCCGCGCGCGCAGCTGCAGTTGTCACTGCGCTTCCCCGCCCCCGCTTCTGGATGCCCCCCTTCCCTCTCTCCACCAGACCCGGAGCAGGAGCTCCGCCCCCAACGCGCCGCCCCAGCCCCGGCGCTTTAAAACCCGGTGCACACCGCCCAGCCGCGCCCCGTCTGGCGCACCTCTCCTCTCCTCAGTATCTTCAGCCGCAGCAGCTCTCCTGGCCCTGGTCCCGGCACCATGAGTTTCGGCTCGGAGCACTACCTGTGCGCCTCCTCCTCCTACCGCAAGGTGTTTGGAGATGGCTCTCGTCTGTCCTCGCGCCTCTCCAGCGCCGGTGGCGCGGGTAGCTTCCGCTCGCAGTCGCTGTCCCGCTGCAATGTGGCCTCCTCGGCCGCCTGCTCCTCGGCCTCGTCGCTTGGCCTGGGCCTGGCCTACCGCCGGCCCCCCGCGTCCGACGGGCTCGACCTGAGTCAGGCGGCAGCGCGCACCAACGAGTACAAGATTATCCGCACCAACGAGAAGGAGCAGCTGCAGGGCCTCAACGACCGCTTCGCCGTGTTCATCGAGAAGGTGCACCAGCTGGAGACGCAGAACCGCGCGCTCGAGGCCGAGCTGACGGCGCTGCGGCAGCGCCACGCCGAACCGTCGCGCGTTGGCGAGCTCTTCCAGCGCGAGCTGCGCGACCTGCGCGCGCAGCTGGAGGAGGCGAGCTCGGCGCGCGCGCAGGCCCTGCTGGAGCGCGACGGGCTGGCGGAGGAGGTGCAGCGGCTTCGGGCGCGCTGCGAGGAGGAGAGTCGAGGGCGAGAAGGCGCCGAGCGCGCGCTGAAGGCGCAGCAGCGCGACGTGGACGGTGCCACGCTGGCCCGCCTGGACCTGGAGAAGAAGGTGGAGTCGCTGCTAGACGAGTTGGCCTTTGTGCGCCAGGTGCACGACGAGGAGGTGGCCGAGCTGCTGGCCACGCTGCAGGCATCGTCGCAGGCCGCGGCCGAGGTGGACGTGGCTGTGGCCAAACCAGACCTGAGTTCGGCGCTGAGGGAGATCCGCGCCCAGTATGAGTCCCTGGCTGCCAAGAACCTCCAGTCAGCCGAGGAGTGGTACAAGTCCAAGTTTGCCAACCTGAACGAGCAGGCAGCGCGCAGCACGGAGGCCATCCGGGCAAGCCGCGAGGAGATTCACGAGTACAGGCGTCAGCTGCAGGCACGCACCATCGAGATTGAGGGGCTGCGTGGGGCCAATGAGTCCTTGGAAAGGCAGATCCTGGAGCTGGAGGAGCGGCACAGTGCAGAGGTGGCTAGCTACCAGGTAAGGGCTGAAACGCTGCAAAGGGAGGGGCGCCCTGATCTCTCCCCCACCTACCTATGCCTTCCCACACAATTGAGCCCTTAGGAACTGAGAGGAACGGGGGTGGGTGGGTGGGTGGAGGAAGGACCCCAACTGGAGGTGCTGACAAACAAAAGCCCAGGAGCCTACACTATTCATTCTAGAGTCCTGGTCACCCTCTTTTCCTTGTCCGAGCCCTTTTAGAAAAAACCCTTAAGCTTATGTTTTTCAGAATCCAGAAATCTAATTTATTCCTCTCTGTCCGCAAGTGGACATAAACACCTTGGTGACCTGAAGAACAGTCCCCCACCCAAAGTAGGAGTGAACCCAATGCGGTTGGGATACAGTCTCTCATGTTGGCAGTGCTGTCTCGGCTGTGTGGATTGTTGGGTTGCCTTTGGAAGGCTTTCTGTGCGCCCGGAATTGATATTTATGGAGTATGGTCTGCGCTAGAGAGAAGAATGGTGGACTGACTATGGTATGTGCTAGGGAGAAGAATGCTGGATCCTTCTGGGAAGGGTTTCTGCTCAATCATTTTCTTGAGTTTTGCCTTCAAAAGAGTAGAGATTGGGAGCCAAGGAGCTGAGTGATTGGGCTAGTTACAACCGCCCTTCTCTACCCTCTTCCCCTTCCAAGACAGACAGACAGACAGACAGACACACACACACACACACACACACACACACACACACGAGTTTCCTTGTCGATCTGCTGCTGGTATTTCTTCCTAAAGAAAGCTTTATACCACTTAGCAAATAGGAATGGCATGGGCGCTGTCCGCGGTGCTGATCTAGAGTGCTTTCCATCTCAGAAATGATGTGTCTCCCGTCTCATGTCCTAGTTATGACTCTCTAGGTAATTAACTGCTTTGTTGTTGTTTTTTTTTTTCTTCTGCAACACCATCACATCAGTCTTGGCTACCTGCAATCAAAGGTCACCTCATAGCATCAATTTTCACTGTCATGGATGGCTTACCACTTAGCAAAAAACACCTAATCTGCTCAGCAGCAGTGAGGTCCCACTTGAAAATTCACATCTCCTTAACAATTTTCCATCCTCAATGTATGTGATAAATCACAGAGATGGGTGATTCTATCTTTGTTATAGGCCACTTATTTTTTTCCATCTTTCCATGTCTCCTAAGCTCCTTTGAAGGTGTTAATTGGATCTTTCTTCCTTTTCTCTCCAAACAAAGACCACGGCATCTTCAGTTTTACTGTATAGAGCATTCTGGGCTTATGACCACAAAGAGTACAGAGACAGGAGAAAAGAAAGGAATCTAAATAGTGTTTCAGTTTCAAGGTCCAATCAAAGCTCCATTGGGTAGAATGGTACTAATTCAGAAATTTGCAATAACTCATTCTGGCCAAAATCGAAGTTTACATTTGATGAAATTAATAGGGCTTGGAAACATTAATAAAAAAGAACAAAGAGAGGAGTAAAACCTCAAAAGTACTGTTTTAGTCTATAGCTGAAGAATTATTATTGGCGTGCAGGTATTTATTGTCTATTAAAACTGCTCCATTTGCTAAAAGAAGAAAGCTTGCCTGGACCATTTGTTTGGGTTATTTGGAATTAACAGTACTATTCAAGTAAATACTTCTATTCTGCTTCAAAAGCTGTAATTTGAATTTTTCACTGTATGGCCTAGCTCCTGCATGGCCTGAATTAATCACATTTAGTTAACTGAGATTTCATGTATTCTTCTAGAAGCCTCAAAAGATCAGCTAGGGGGTCTTCTGAAGGGCTAGCCCAGTCTTTCTACAAAAAGGCTAACTTAACCAGCAACTACAACTGCCATCTGAATTGGTCTTTGCCATGCCCTCTGTTTGCTTAGTCTAGCCCTACACCCTAAGAGATAGTGACAGTATTATCTGACTTGTTTTGTTTGCTTTAAACGGCTTTCAGTGTCAGACAATAGGAGGGACAATAGGAGGGTCATCCAGACACGGTCTGCAGGAAACAAACAAAAACCCTCCAGAAACTGCGGCACCTGCGTCTCTGCAGTGTGTCCCTGTCCGCGTTGGCCTTCAGAGCCTCAGTGGACCTGCTGGTGGAATGGAAGACCAGCTGAGACAACAGAAAGCTATTTCCTACCCCTTGGGACTTCAGGCTGAGGAGGGGCTCACACCCTCACCTGCCAAACCTGAAGACCTGAAGTCACAAGCGTATCCTCTGGCTGTTTTCTCTAACAATTTGAGCAGTGCTGGCCAAGATGAAAAGCCTCCTTCTCCACAGTGAAATTCAGCCATTGTTTTCTTGCCCTCTCCCCCCTCCCCTTCCGCTGCAGTAATGGGAGGCTGTTCTCTTTCTTCTGCTTCAGAGATTAGTGATAGGCCCATTTTCCTTTGCAAGCTTACCACCCTCTAAGAGGCAGAGGAAAGCCCCATTAAAGTGACATTTTCCCTGCCCAGAATGCTGACAGGCTATTCAAGGATAGAAAGCTTATTACAGTTTTGAAAGGGTAAAGAATGATTCAAGGTGACATAGTAAGTACACAATGATATATGAGATTGTCCAAATCAGGCGACAGGAGAAATTATGAAGAGCTAGGGCCATTGTCTTCAAAAGCCAAATGTAGCCACCCTCTATAGCTGAACCCTTTTCCATTTCTGACCCAGGGTGAATCTAGTTCCTGCATAGCTGCTCTACCACCATTAGAGGCCCTGTTCTCCCAAAGATGCGTAAGGATATTTTTGCAGGATACTGGAGGCCCTGGCCCTGTACTCTGGTCAGTCTTGGAAAGCCGGAGCTTTCCTTGAAAGACCTTGCAGAACAATCAAGCTCACCATTAGTTAATGCTCCCCAGGGAGAAGAGCCAAGTCTGCCCTCTTCTCTCTAGTATGAGATTGGAATACAACCCAATGAAATAGCAAAAAGGGGTTGGCCCCTTGGAGATTGGGCGTGCCACTGGCTGCTTATAAATCTATGGCTTGATAGATTTATCTCTGAAACTAGAATCCAAGAAGAAACTACATTTGTTCCTGTTTTTCCTTTTAACTCTTCCATGTGTTTTTAGTTTTGTTTTTGCCCCTCCCTGCCTCATTGTATTACTGTAACCAAGGCCACCTTGATAGCTCCTCTACAGAAATAAATTTAAACTTGCAGTTCCTAAACCCATTGATCCACCAAGGTCACTTGGGAGCTTAACAAAAAGATTCTCAGGCCTACGCCCAAAGATTTGGATTCAGTGGTTCACAGGTGTGGCCCAGGAATATACATTTTCAGTAAAAGCCCTGCACCGTATTGTCCTTGGGCTGATTTGGCAGTGCACTAACCTAAATCACACTCCACAATATAAACCAGCTCATAGAATGCAAGATTTCAAAGTATGATAGGGAAAAAGAAAGGAAGCAAGCAAGCAAGCCAAGACAGGAGGGAGAAGAAGGCATATGGGCAGTCCACCTATAAAAATCCTCTCTCCTCGCCCAGTAATTCTGGAGGGGCTCTTTCATCCAGACTGTGCTGCTGCACTCACTACTACTGCTCACCTGGCTGAGGGCTCCCAAAAGTGATGAAATCCATAGCACTATTTGTGGTTCCTTTCCTCCACTGCAGATGTGTGTGTGGCGTGGTCTTTCTCTTATTCCAGGCCCTGCATTCTTCCAGCCCTTGGGAAGATGCTCAGCACGTGTTTTAGCTACTACTCCAGGAGAGACCCCAGCTGGAACTGGGAGTGCCTCTGCCATTCCCTCAGGCTAAGCCAGCAGCGGCTGCGTGGTTGGGGGAGGGGGTAGACTGCAGTGCTCAGCTCAGATTTCCAGCTGGAGGCCATCTTTGGCAGGGCTTTTGAAGGGCAATGCAAGACAGTCTGGTGTGGGCTGAAGACAGCATAAACAAAGGGACTAGACGTTGAAGAGCAATGATCAGCAGTCAGCCCAGTTCCTTCTGAAAGGAGCAGAGTCATGCTTTTTGTCTACTCCGATCCATAAAATAGACATGTGAAATGTGTAACATAAAAATTCAAGAAAATCTCTATCTAGAACTCAGCTCCCAACAACCTTGTATTCAGCAAACACAGCTCTGAAACAAAAATGTTTTTAGAAAGGACCTTATTAATCTGATGAGACAAAACGTCCATGTTCAAATCACATATTGGGAAGCTGACCCCTCTGATGCTCCTAACTTACTCATTCTTACTTTTCATGATTCTAAAGGACATTGTCTTTTGAATTTGAAGCATGCTGCAAGATAGAGAAGAGGGACCAATGGAGTCAGCCATCATGGAGAAAGAGTAGCTTAGTTCAACTTTCAGAACAAAGAAAACCAATAAATAGCAAGCACTAATTCAAACACTGCTCTTTGGGGCCATTTAGGGTAGAAATAAATAATCTGATATACCTCAGTTGACAAATGACATCATAGAATTATAGAAAAATAATTGCTCATTATCATAACTTGTAGTTGCTAAGAAAGGCTGCATTATGTTTATGTCCTCATTAAGAACGGTACCTCCCCCATGGGGCACCTGGCTGGCTCGGTCGGAGGAGCATGCTACTCTTGATCTTGGGGTCCTGAGTTTGAGCCCCATGTTGGATGTAGACAGTACTTTAATAAAAAAATATTTTTAAAAATGGTACAGACCCCTCTAGGAAGGCTTTTTTTCCCCCAAAATCATTATTTTAAGAAAATCTGGTGCTTTAAGGAATATGCCTTCAACTATCTAATATTAACGTCTTATTATACATTGTTTTCCTTGGTAATCCAGGAGGTTGCCGGGAGGCCTCATGATTAAGTCATCCATGTGATTAAAAAGGGTGTAGACTCGCATGGTATGATACTAACAATAATTTATTGACCAATTTTTACGTGACAAGTACTGTTTTAATACCTGTTACCTAATTTAACAGATAATGGACTCCTATAACAATGTGAGGTGCTTAATTTGAAATCCCAACTTGAGGATCTCAGAACATCTCAGAAAAGAATATTATAATTTTCCATATATAGAAATGGGAATTTTGAAGAGACTAAAATATGGAAAACTGACTGGGGCGTGTTGGATATTTGAGGCAGGGCAAGAAATGCAACCCCAGGGCGCCTGGGTGGCTCAGTGGGTTAAAGCCTCTGCCTTCAGCTCAGGTCATGATCCCAGGGTCCTGGGATCGAGCCCCACATCAGGCTCTCTGTTCCACAGGGAGCCTGCTTCCTCCTCTCTCTCTCTCTGCCTGCCTCTCTACCTACTTGTGATCTCTGTCTGTCAAATAAATAAATAAAATATTTAAAAAAAAAAAAAGAAAAGAAATGCAACCCCAAGATCCTGATGAAATCCTCCTCTTTTCCTCAGATTTCATTTCTCCTGTCCTTTGCCTACTGAGAGGTCTTCCTCCCTCTCCCCTTTCCCACAGTAATATCGCTTCTCTTACCCCGAGTGCATCACTAGCAGACTTGCCTGTAGGTGAGTTTAACCTCAACTAACAACCATCAAGTAAAATGTTTGGTAAAAATCATTTTAAGCCCTTATGATCTCTTAACACACTTTGGAATATTTCCATCACTGTCCGTATAATATATATTTTCCCCACTGCTTGTCATTCCTTGCTCTGTACCTATCGGTTAATTGAGTTTCTCCCTTGTGGCATTCCCATCAATATTTAGAGAAGAGGTAGGAGGTATGAATTTTCCTTCTTTCTGCAGATTCTCTTGATTTGGAAGTTTGCACCTCCCAGTGTTACCAGCCCTGCTTTCCACCATCACCTCGTCATCCCCACACAGGAAGTTACAAGGATCCCTCACCCACTTACTTCTTGAGGTTTCTGATGTTTATCTGCATCACTGTTTCACAAAAGTTACTCTGAATTGCTGTGTTCTTCATGTCAACAAAGTTGCAACTGAATTATATGGGTTATTTGCTCACATCTTTTCAGGACAGAGGAAAAGAGGCGCGGGTGTAGCACGGTTCATTCATTTAACGATGACTCACAGGCCATCTACAATGTGCATTGTGCTAGGCTCTGGGCTTTCAGTGGTGAACCATACAGAATCAGCCCCCATTTCCACACCAAGTACATTCTAGAGCAGTCGTTCTCTGATAGGAGTGACTTGCCTTCCAGGGGACATTTAGCAGTGTCTGGGGACATTGTTGGTTATCACAACCAGGAGGGAGAGTACGTGCTAAACACCCTCCAATTCACAGGACAGCCCCCCACAGCAAAGAATGATCCAGCCCCAAATGTCAACAGTGCCTAGGTGGAAAAACCATGAGATAGAGGAAGGTGACAGAAAATAAATTAGTAAAGTAATAAATAAGTGAAAGAATTTCAGATAATGATAAAGCAGAGCGGCCAGTTCAAGCATGTGCTTTCTTTTAACTTGTCCTCCCGCTGGAGGTGCCTTTTTCTCATTTGCATGAAGCCCCTTCCCATGCTAGCCACTGCCCGGGCTTGAGGTAAACTAGGCTGCTTAATTTGGACACAAAGGAAGACTGACTAGAGGGCATTTGAACTGAATCTTCAGTGACTGAGAGTCGGCCACAGAAGACCCACTACAGAATATTCCAAACAGATGAAACAGCTAGCTTAAAGGGGGGCCTGGAGCAGAAGTGAATTTAGCATAAGGAGTAAAAGAGAAAGCCCAGGTCACTGAAACCCTTTGAGCCAGGGGAATAGTACAGGCCATGCTGAAGAGTTGGGACTTTATTGTAAAGCTGTTAGAAGGTTTCAGACAGGTGAGGGACTAGATCTGCTGTGTTTTCAAAAGACCCTTTGGGGGCACCTGGGTGGCTCATTTAGTTAAGCAGCGGATTCCTGGTTTTAGCTCTCATGGGTCATGGAATCAAGCCTGGAGCTGGGCTCTGCTCAGTGGGGAGCCTGCTTGAAGATTCTCTCTCACTGCACCCCCCCACCCCCACACCAAGTGTGCACGCATGCGCTCTCTCTCTCTCTCACGCTCTCTCAAATAAATAAATATTTTTTTAAAAAAGTTTAAAAGACCCTCTGGCTGCTCAAGGATCAAAGATTAAAGTTATTTTTTGGGTACCCAGGTGGCTCAGTCAGTTAAGCCTCCGATTTTGGTTTCCGCTTAGGTGGTAAGCTCAGCCAGGGTCATGTGACTGGGCTCCGTGGGGAGTCTGCTTTGAGTTTCTCTCTCCTTCTCCCCTCCCTTTCCTGCTTGTGCTCTCTCTTTCTCTCTCAAATAAATAAAATTTAAGAAAAAAATTTTAAGCTGGGGCACCTGGGTGGCTCAGTGGGTTAAAGCCTCTGCCTTCAGCTCGGGTCATGATCCCAGGGTCCTGCGATCGAGCCCCGCGTCGGGCTCTCTGCTCAGCGGGGAACCTGCTTCCTCCTCTCTCTCTCTCTGCCTGCCTCTCTGCCTGCTTGTGATCTCTGTCAAATAAATAAATAAAATCTTTAATAAAAAAATTTTTTTAAGCTATTTTTCTTCTGGGTTTGCACCTGAAAGAATTTGGAGCAAAACTATTATATGGATCTAGTTTCTTTTTTATTTATTTTCAAAGATTTTATATGTTTGGGAGAGAGAGAGAAAGGCAAGCTCAAGTGGTGGGGAGGGGCAGTTGGAGCACATCCCAAGCAGACTCTGCATTGAGCGCAGAGCCCAGTCCAGGGGTAGACTTAACCACACCGAGATCATAACCTGAGCCGAAATCGAGAGCTGGCTGCCCAACCGACTGAGCCCACCCAAGTGCCCCCTAGTTTCTTTCTTAAAAGTCTAATTTCAGCCTGCCATTTGGATTTTTAAAATTCTGTGGAGTATTTCTGCTTCCTCCTTGCCTGCTGCGTAAAATGCTTTCAGTAAGGTGATCCAGCAGCAGACTTCCAGGAAACCATCCAGAAGGATGGAGGCAGAGAAGACTTGATATCTTCTCTGTGCTTTTTCACAGTTGGAATTTTCTGAGTCTAAACTCCTAACCTAAAGCTTTGGGTTTTGGAAAGGACATACAACAGCTGAATTATTCAGTAGCAATACAATAAGCAAGGGAGGGAGGAGAAGTAAGTTGTGGGTATTGGGTTTTTTTTTTTTTTTCTAAGTTTTTACTTAAATTCCAGTCAGTTAATATACAGCCTGGTATCAGTTTCAGGTGACTGTTTAACAAGAGAGAGAGAAAATACCTCCCTGGTGTGCATTTGAGAAGCACAAATGCAGTAGAAGTTGCCAACCCTTAACATGTGTCTGAGTCTCCTGGGGACCTTGTGAAACAATGCAGAGGCGGGGACCTCACCCCAGAACGAGCAAATCAGTATCTGGGCCGGGGGACAGGCCTAGATTTTTAATGTGTCATCAGGGTTGAGAATCCTTGTTTTGTGGAAATCTCACTGCACTGCAGCTGATTCAAAGATGCTGGATATGTCACTTTTCAGGATAGCATCGGGCAGCTGGAAAATGACCTGCGGAACACCAAGAGTGAGATGGCGCGCCACCTTCGGGAATACCAGGACTTGCTCAATGTCAAAATGGCTCTTGATATTGAGATAGCCGCTTACAGGTATTTCAAAGGGCATGCTCCCCCAAGCAGATCCAGCCACCTGGGGCAACGCCCCCCAAATAAGTGGATAAGTGGTTTTATAGTCTCTCCAATTTCTGATGGGTGAGAAGGGATGAGGAAAGTCATCTCCGGCCCCTTGCAGGGGAGCTAACTCCTCTGTCCCTCAACTTGTTTATATCCCAACTCTACCCTACTAGTCCTGGAGTGGTCCACCTGCCTCTGCTAGGATTGAAGGAGATAATGTGAGTATCCATTTTTAAAGATGCTAACTTTAAAAAAAAAAATAGGGCTTACACAACGTAGAACATTCTAACAGGTGAAGTATCTCTCTGAATTTCTTCTCAATGTTCAAGCAAACATTTGCCTTTAAAAAAAGGTAATAACAGTAGCTACTATTTTTTGAATGGCTACTATGTTCCAGGCACTATTAGATACTGTATTTAAATGATCTAGGTATCCAGTCATATTATTTCCATTTTGCAGATGAGGAAAATTGAACCACAGACTGACCATGTAACTTGTTCTGAGTCATGGTGCTGGTGAAGGGAAGAGCTCAGCTTCAACCCTGATCTGAGAATTCTTTTTCTTTTACGTTATATATATACTTCTTCAAAACAAAACTCCAAGAGTATGTGATAGTGTCTTGAGTTTCTGGTTTTAAAGAAAAGATGATAAGCAGTATTAGAAATAAGAAAAAAAGGCATTGGGCCCATTGCTATGATGCTCATTAGGCTAAGCTGAGAAAAAATCTGGTATCTGAAACAGTTGAATTCACTGGTTTTTGAAGTTGCTGTTTCCCTTTTCTTTGTGCTCCTCTACATTGAAAAAAAGTACAAATCTCAAGTTCAGGCTAAATGAGGCATCTCCTTCCTCCTCTGTGGGCTTCTCACCTCCTTATCCCTAGAACCTAATTAAGGTTCTAATTAGTAAAATTACTTCTCCTTAGAGCTTTGTAGACTCTAAAGTGCCAGAAATGGGTGTGATGAGGCCAAGGGGAATTGTACAAAAATTCCTTTTTGAATGTATTCATGAATAGGGTAGGTTTCCCTTTGTTGGTGCTTTAAACACAGCTGATGCTAAAGGTGTTGTGAGTGTGTGTATGTGTGCACATGCACGTGTGCATGTATGTGCACATATGTGTGCATGTGCTAGATCAACTCCCAAGTCTTTGAACCTTGGAAGACAATATTTATTGGTCTCAACCTCACAAAGAAACTGCAGAGTCTTTCAGAATCTTTCTAAAATGAATAGGAGCTGGAGGGTTAAGTTCTTTTTTTTTTTTTTTTTAAGTTACAGGTTGACTTCCTAAGACTTTTTCTCTGTTGGATTTACAGGAAACTGCTGGAAGGCGAGGAGACACGTTTTAGCACCAGTGGATTAAGCATTTCAGGGCTGAATCCACCCCCCAATCCGGCTTATCTGCTCCCACCTAGAATCCTCAGTTCTACAACCTCCAAAGTCTCATCCACTGGGCTGTCTCTTAAGAAAGAGGAAGAGGAGGAGGAGGAGGCTTCTAAGGCAGCCTCTAAGAAAACCTCCCAGATAGGGGAAAGTTTTGAAGAAATACTGGAGGAGACAGTAATATCTACTAAGAAAACCGAGAAGTCAATTATAGAAGAAAGCACCACTTCAAGCCAAAAAATATAATTCTGTCGCTTTAAAAAAAAAAAAAGTTAATGCTTAAGAGGGGATAATATGCATTTGACTTGTTAAAGAGCCTATTCCTGAACCAAAACACCTGTCACCACTAGAAAATGTCTTCAAGGCTTCAGTCTCCTATCTAGCATTGAACACTCCACTTTCTCTAATAAGACAACCACCCCTTAGGTTGGAGCAAAGTGCAGTCTTAGAGTAAATCACAGAGGAGTTATCTAAGAACTCAGCTTTCTCACCTAAAGCTCAGGCTTCACAGCATTAGATGATTCAGGTACAGAGGAAGTACAAACTAAGGTGCTAAATCTGTGATCATCGTCATTTGCTGTGAATTGAAATTAAAACTTACATTCACTCACCATACCCAGACCTCACCCGGCCCTATAGTCTCATTCTAGGTACCTAAAACATAAGATCACTGCCAAAGATAAACCAATGGTCCACATCCACAGCACTCCGACGAAACTGCTTCACAAGTGATAGGTGTTTGTTTAATAGAAACTTCCTCCTTCCCCTCGAAATTCTATCTATCCTTTTCTTCCATTCAGGAAAAAAAAAAAAAGCTAGTGTAGTATTCTTCCCCCTTAAAAACAGTTAGGTTCTTCTCAAAAGAACTTAACTTACCCCCTTTAGATCTCTTTGTTCAATGGGTAAAATTAGATGCATGTTGACCATTTCTGTGATTCGTGTAGACTTCTCCCTGCCCATTTCACGTCCTTCCAATTCTGTAAGTGAAGAAAAATGGCAGTGATGAGTTTTAAGGGTTGTCCCCAACAAATAATGAAAAGAGTCCCTAGATTTTAGGCTTTCAACTTCTTCAAATCCACTTAATTTAGGGAGAAAAAAAGTATGAAGAATGTAGTTGTTCACTTTAACTTTAGAAACACGGTCATAGTGCCCCAAGCTGTGATTAAGCTGACCTTAAATTTAGTAGTAGAAGCTAGAAGAGGTGAGTATTTGTGTGAATGGAAAAAGTCGAGGTCTCATTGATCTGTGTGAGTTCATTTGTGGTGATCTAGAATTAGCTGTTTCAGGCCCTTACCCTTAGAACACACATAGCCCCTTTCTCACTGTCTCGGTCCTAAAGAGGCCTTGCTTTCACTCTCCTTTGCCTTGTAAGAGTGCTGAGTGTAATTACTTTATCACCAGGACACAATGCTACTGCCCAAAAGTAACAGGAATCGCTTCTGGTCAATTACCACCACCAGCAAACATAAAAATGAAATCCTTCTCTTTTCTAAAAGAGCCCTGCCCCACGGTTTTCCCATTGCTGCATGGCTGGTGGGGTCTCCTTTCCCTGCTGGAGAGGCAGCGACGCTCAGGCTAGAGAAGGGCACACATACTCCTATTCGTGTGCAAGAAAGGACACTCTGGAGAGTCCGCTTTTCATCTGCCCGACCGTGTAGCAGCCGCATCGCCCCACCTTCCACATGTGCCAAGTTTGATGTAGGGCTAAGTCTGTCCTGCAGTCCCTTCCACCAGACCTAAGAGTTGCTGTGTCTGTCACGCACCTCTGCTGCAAGTGCTGTTGTGATAGGGCGTGATGCTGTTACTGAACTTTCTTATCCTAGGACCTGCTTCAGCAGTTCAAGGAACTGGAAAGATACTTTCTCTTCCTCCTTTCCCTCACTCCATCCCTGTCTTTACTCCCCACACTTACTGTAACACGTTAGTAAGATAAGAATTAAAAGTCACACGAATCCCACCAACATAATGTGTTCTGTGATTTTTGCGGCTACAGTAGAGAAAAGTGCTGTTTTGGGGGCTCCTGGCTGGCTTAGTTGGGAGAGCATGTGACTCAGTCTCAGGGTCGTGAATTCAAGCCCCATGTTGGGCTTAGAGCTTACTTTAAAAAGAGAGAGGGATGCCTGGGTGGCTCCGTCAGTTAAGCGTCTGCCTTTGGCTCAGATCACGATCTCATGGTCCTGGGGTTGAGCTCTGTGATGGGCACCCTGCTCAGTGGGGAGTCTGTTGCTCCCTCTCCCTCTGCCCCTGCCCCTGCTCATGCTCTCTCTCAAATAAAATCTTTAAGAGAGAGAGAGAGAAGCAAGCACTGTTCTGGTTCAGTAAGACAGCTGGACCCCAAATAATTTTGGAATTGTATATTCTCTGCTTTTGCATCCGTGTTTACATGGGAAGCCTGGGTGGCTCAGTCGGTTAAGCATCCACATTTACAGTTTTGGTTTTTTTTCCCTTGCCAAGGCTTTGGAGTTCTATAATCTGCGTGTGTTCACACTATCTCAAACACATAATGCACTAAGCGGTCAGTTTATGGCAAGGAGTGGAGAAATCTAACAAATGATGCAAGACAATATGTTCTGTGCCTGGATAATGACTCAACTAGCTTAACTTGAACATTTCTGAGAATGAAGTGGCAGAACGCATATGGTAAAAGGTAATTCAAAACAGTATCTTGTCTCTTTTTGAAGATGGGTTTATATTTCTGTAGAACCCATATGTTTAATTAGCCCATTGGCAGCAGTAATAGAATTTTCCTCTACTGTAATGATTCTTAACCCTTTATGGATTACAGACCCCTTGTAGAAAGCTATGGACATTTCTTGCAGAAAAATCCACATACAAAGCTTTGTAATATCAAGGGGCTTGGGTTTCTTGTTGAACCATCTACCTCTGGTGTCCAGAAGTCCATGGACTTCCCAGTTGGGATCCCCTAATGTCATGTTAGGTTCCGGGATAGAGACTAAATGAGGGGAATACACTGATGTGGGTATGAAGCTGGAGCTTGCTGAATCCTGATCGATACCGTCATTCTCAGTGCATCTGGCTAAGAGTGCTTGAATGCCTTGCAAAGATACATTGATTGTACTGCTTCGGGAAAAGGGGCGTTAGTCCCACACCAACAATGAGAGTTTTATAACAATTAAACATCTTTGAGGACCTCTTAAGGAACGATAATAGTCTCATCAATCCATGGGTTTGAAATACAGATATTGGTTGCCACTTCTAAGAATACCATCTCATTAATGGATCCTGGATGCAAAACTGCCAGGCTTTTATTACATTTATATAATTTCTAGCTCTAATTGGCATCTCCTGTTTTCAGTGAGTTGCCACTAAAATGAGCTCATTTATAAAGGATTAAAAGCATCTTAAAGAGTTGATGAATCAGGGGCGCCTGGGTGGCTCAGTGGGTTAAGCCGCTGCCTTCGGCTCAGGTCATGATCCCAGGGTCCTGGGATCGAGCCCCGCATCGGGTTCTCTGCTCAGCAAGGAGCCTGCTTCCTCCTCTCTCTCCGCCTGCCTCTCTGCCTGCTTGTGATCTCTGTCTGTCAAATAAATAAATAAAATCTTTAAAAAAAAAAAAAAGAGTTGATGAATCATTAAATCAGGACAATTTCAGTAACAAGGAAACATAGCATTCAGAATCATAAGGCAGGGAAGAAAAGGGAAGGGGAAGGAAGCAACACCATCGGTTAATGACAGAACAGGACACCACAGTGAGTCTGTGCGATTGTGGGGAAGCCTGTCCATAAAGCACGTTAGTGATAACCGATGACGACTTTCAGATTCTTTAGACAATGAGGTTCCCCTGCATCCTGAGACTAATAACAGCTTTAATTTCTTCAGTGCCTGCCTACTATGTGTCAGACACTGTAGTAGGCAGTAAACAGAATTATCTCATTGAAACCTCACAACCATTCTTTAGGTAGTATTTGTAGACCCATTTTACAAATAAAGATATAGAGCCTGGGAATGACGAAGTTAAAACCCTTTGTCTAATGTCACAGAATAAGAGCTGGGATTTGAACCCTCGTCTTTGGACTGCAGTGCCTGCTTCTCTTTCCTATATTGCCTCTCTACATAAAAGAAAGTTCTCTCACTCGAGGGAGTAAAAATATTTATTTTTCTCCTCTTTTTCCCCCTCTTCCCCACTGGGTTTTACTTACGGTTTTTCTGCCCTAGAAACCTTTGACAACACCAAGTCCCACAGGCAAATTGCTACACTTTGCAGACTTCCCAAACCTATTAGCTTCCTGCATTGCCATGAGGTCGTGACAGCTCAAACCTGGGTTCTGAGCCCATCTAACTGAGTCACCTCCTAGTAAAAACAAAATAGAATTGCGTGCCTTTACCTAATTTTTAAAAAGGAGGGTTTTTTAAAATATTTTATTTATTTATTTGACAGACAGAGATCACAAGTAGGCAGAGAGGCAGGCAGAGAGAGAGAGGAGGAAGCAGGCTCCCTGCTGAGCAGAGAGCTTGATGTGGGGCTCGATCCCAGGACCCTGGGATCATGACCTGAGCCGAAGGCGGAGGCTTTAACCCACTGAGCCACCCAGGTGCCCCTAAAAAGGAGTTTTAAAAAATAATTTTGCAAAGGAACTCTGCAGCTCGGTATCAAAGGGCCTGGAAATGATGGGATGTTGCAGAAGGGACAATTCCTCAGGAGGTAATAAATCCAGGATAGTTAGAATTCATTTTACTGCACTGGCTACAGAGGGGGGCAAGATTTGAGCAACTGTCTAGAAATCAGAGTCCAAATTTTAGCTCCAGACCCGATGCAAGTCACATATAGTCCTGCAGCTAAACTTCTAGAACTTACTTGTGAACGCAATTAGGGAGTCCAGAACCACCATTCATGACTCTAGAGGCAAACATGAAATAGTTTGGAAATTTTTTTAAAATTCACTGGGGGGGGTGTCTGAATGAAGCAGTCAGTTGGGTGTTTGACTCTTGGTTTTGGCTCAGGTCATGGTCTCAGGGTCTTGAGATTGAGGCCCGTGTTGGGCTCCCCACTCAGTGCTGGTGTCTGCTCGAGTCTCTCTCTCTCCCTCTACCTCTGCCTCCCAACTTGTGTGTGCATGCTCTCTCTCTAAAATAAGTAAATAAATCTAGGGGTGCCTGGGTGGCTCAGTGGTTTAAGCCTCTGCCTTCCGCTCAGGTCATGATCCCAGGGTCCTGGGATCGAGCCCCACATCGGGCTTTCTGCTCTGCAGGGAGCCTGCTTCCTCCTCTCTCTCTGCCTGCCTTTCTGCCTACTTGTG